ACCCACCCACCTCTGAGGAGCCTCCCTGGTGCTCCCTGCCCTCCCAGGAGCACAGAGTCATGGCTTTCAATTGCCCGGTCAGGTGAGGCCCCAGAGTGGACGGGACAGATGTGAGTGACACCCACCTACGTGTCATGTCGCACTGTCCGCGGGATCGCGGTACAGTCACACGTCGAGGGCCCTGGGAGCAGGCCTGACCCGGGGGCTGTCAGGAGTCTTGGCGCCCACTGGCGCACCCCCACCTGCTTTCCTGCGTTTTGATCGGGGGTTCCCTCTGCTTCACGCCAGGTTTTCCTTGTGTCTCGGACTTCATTGTTTCCTACCTTCAGTGCTCTGCCCTGTGCAGGAAGTTACTGGAATCTGAATGCACCTGGTCCACTTCAGCGGGGTGTTGCTTTAGACCGGTGGTCGGCAAACTGCGGCTCGCGAGCCACATGCGGCTCTTTGGCCCCTTGAGTGTGGTTCTTCCTAAGCCTTAGGAGTAATATTTCTGAGATCTGAAAAATAATCTCAAAAAAAAAACCAACCCTTTAAAACACACATGCTGTTTATTTTTGGTGCATTATAAAGCAATATGCAAAAACCACAAGTAAAGTAGGAAGCCTAAGTTAAACTCTAGTACAGTGGTTCTCAACCTTGGCTGCACATTAGAATCACCTGGGAATCTTTTTAAAATCCTGATTTCTGGGCCTCATCCTCCGGAAATTCTGTTTCTTTGTTATGGGGTGGGTGGCCCCACCCCATAACAAAGACACAGAATTTCCGGAGGATGAGGCCCAGAAATCAGGATTTTAAAAAGATTCCCAGGTGATTCTCATGTGCAGCCAAGGTTGAGAACCACTGATTTAGAGAGAGGGAGAGACAGACAAGACAGACAGACAGAGAGAAACAACGATGTGAGAGAGGAACATTGTACACACTGCAGCTGGGACTGAACCTGCAGCCAAGGCATGTGCCCTGACCAGGAACCAAACCCACGGCTTTCCAAGGCATCGAACAGTGCCCCACCACTGAGCCACACCAGCAAGGCCACACCTGGTCTGCTTTTTACAGCCTTGGTCAGCTCACTGAACTGAGATGATTGAAACCTTTCTTATCTTCATCAGTCAAAGACACATCTTCCCCAAAACCAGCCTTCTTTTTTCTGTTGGAAATGGGACAGAATTGTGGAGTGGAGTTAGGCTGTTTGAGAACATTGTGTTTGGAAGCTTGGATTCATATGTCTTCAAAGTGTAAGGTGGACGTGGGAACCGTGTCAGTGCTGTGTGTCTTCTCTCTCTCTCTCTCTCTCTCTCTTTTTTTTTTATTAATCTTCACCCAAGGATATTTTTCCATTGATTTTTTAGGGAGCGTGGAAGAGAGAGGGAAGGACAGAGAACATGGATGGAGAAACATGGATGTGAGAGAAACACATCAATTGGTTGTCTCCTGCATGTGCCCCAACCAGGGCCCAGGCCAGGGAGGAGCCTGCAACAAAGGTACGTGCCCTGGACCAGAATCGAACCCGGGACCCTTTGGTCCACAGGCCGACGCTCTATCCACTGAGCCACACCGGCCAGGCTGTCTCCTCCTCTTCACAAGCCCCCTGAAGAGAACTCTACTGGGGCCACACTGGGCTCTGAGCCACACTTACGGGAGTTTGTGGTGGGAACAGATTCGAGTGCTTGGACTTTGTTGAAGCGTGAAAGCCAGGGGCGGCCTGTCGTCAGTTTTCATGCCTTTGTGGCGCGGGATGACTTACAATTAGGAGAGGTGTGACGGTGGAGGGCGGTGGCCTGCACTTGCCCTGCTCTCCGAGAGCGCTGGGTCCCAGATGGCGGGGAGGACACGGGCCATGTGTGCATTTACGGCAGGGAAGCGAGCACGCGATAACTCCCGGGAAGTAGACACACAGAACCCGTATTAACTGGTCCACGCGGGAGCTGGGGATGCCACGGGACCAGCCAGCGGCTTGGCTCTGCCGTTCCGGCGGTTCTCTTGGGGGAGGGGTGGTTTCATCTCCAGAGCAGCACGTTTGCATTTGGAAAAGACAGACTCAGCTCTGGGCCCCTTGCTCAGGGCGGTGCTGCGGATTCCCCACTGGTGCCCAGCTCCGGGCTGACGGGAGGTTGGGCCTGGCAGCAGCACGCCCTGAGTAGGAAGTACGTGTGTTTGAAACGTGCTCTTTCACGCTGGAAAGTGTATCGCCTGGGAGGTAACTGAAGTGAACCCGGAGGGCCCACGCCCCAGGTGTGGGCAGTGGCTTCCTTCCTGCTCGGACTGCGGGGGGACTCAGACGGGATGCAGGGCTGTGGGCAGGCCCTCCGTGGCTGGTGCTCAGAGCGGGCAGAGCGGAAAGAACTCCCTGCACTTGCATCCCGGGGGGGGGAAGGCGTCGGGACCCTGCCATCAGGCGGCAGCTGCCGGTGGGCCTGGAGCTCCTGCTGC